GGCTAAGTAAACTTGCACGAGTGTTGGGTTAAAAGAACAATTATTAATACGAAGTTTGATCTTTATTGATACGTACAGTAAATTGTTACGCATTAGGGTTGCTTTACTTTGAGCTGACTGATAGAGGATTCTGATATTAGACAACCGGATAATTCAGGTTTTACTGTGGATCATTAATTTTTCCCATTATTTAAGAATGCAATACATAATCTAGTTCTTTCAGGAAAATATTATTGATACTTTAAAAAATCCTCGCGTCCCCAATTAATAAATAAAATTAATTAATTAATTATTTCCAACCTATTGAAATTTTGTTAACAACGAAGATCAATTTCTATTTAACTCCTATTTGTTGCAATGGAGGAAGACAATTTTTACTTAGCGTAAAAATCCGCAATCGAGTAATAAGCAAGTGCGTAAAGAAGATAGTACTGCGTGTTTTTACTTTGAATTTATTTTTATCTGAAGATATATTTGTGAAATATAGTAGCATCATTAACAGAATAGTACATCATGAAATTAGTTTGACCACGATTCATTTGACTGTTCCAGTGTGAAAACATTAACAGAATTTATGCCCGAAAAATCATGATAGCTCGTTTAATAATAGTCGAGCAGAGAAGACAAGTATACAAAAATACAATCAGCCTAAACTAATGATTAAGTAGTCAATGGAATTGGAAAAAAAGGATTCGTTGTAGCAATTGCTTTTGTAACACTCTTTCGCATATTCTAGCAAAGCGTGGCTAAACATTGTCAAGCAAGAAGCTAAGTAAAATCTTCAATCGTTATTTTCTGCGAACGTGGTGTGCACATTCGAAACACTTTCGTTGAGACAACATCATTCTTATTAGTCTCAATTACGGATTTAGAACATTTCCCTTTTGTCCTCGAATTTATATATTCACTTTCCAGGAAATTAAACTCGGCTGTGTGTACAGAAACAAGTGCAATATTGGTTAAAGAACAGTACAAGAATAGCTCGAATAGCTATCAATCTATAATCATAGACAACGATTTGCGCGAACGGATATACTCAAATTCACGCCAAAAGTGTCGACATTTCGATCTGACAAAAATTCAAATTACTGTAGCCAACAGACTTCTGCATGACAAGATCTCGCGTTGCTTCTTTCACTCGCAAATAAATAAAGCTAAGCGCGTTCTCTTCTTATCCCAGATCTGTCTCTTTGCAACCATCGCCTGTTTTTTTCCCGTGTCACGTTTTCTTACAAAGAAACACTTTAAAACCGGTGTCGAGTTAAACGCGGCAGTTGTTTCATCTCCTGCGAACTTTTCATACCAAGCCTAAGCTTCGTAAACTGCTGCTAAAGAGTCACGCAAAATGAGTGCTTCGTCCGATAACAGAGTTTTCGACCCTCAAAATCTAAACGAATTCAGAGTTCAAATTATGTTGATCGTGGCACGTAAATTGCATGAAAATGTTCGAACGATTCTTTGATTCGACGTGTACATTTCGGGATTTCGTCGATGTCCACCTGGCCATGAGAAATTCATGAGATACGCCGTTTCCGAGGCGCAGCGTCGCGCGAAGTGAATAAGGGAACCGACGCGACTCCGGGAAATTTTGAACGGCCGCCTGCCGGGCAAGAGAAACGGCCAAAATTAATGTTACGAACCTGGAAGCTTATTCCCTTCGGCGGTGGTTAATATTCTCGTTTGTTTGGGAGGCGGCCGCGCCAATGGTACGCGATCGAGGTAGTTTATTAGACGCGAATGCGTATACGTTTACGAGCGGAGGAGGTTAAATGAGGGTGTAAATTCGGATACCGTGGGGAGAAAGGAAACGCATCGGAATTGCAATTCAAGGGTTCTAACAAGAAACTTTGCGGGGGGGGGGGGGCTCGTTTGTTTCGATGTAATTTTTAATGTGGACTAGGTTCAGTCCTAAATTCGATTCGATCGATGACGTACACACCCCTCCGTGTATTAACAGTAACAGTATTAGGGCATTTACAGAAAATTAAATAAATTTGAGAAACCGATAAGAAATTCTTATAATTTCTTCAATTTATTTCAAATTTAATTTTTTGAAACTGTAACAAGTAGATAATATATGTATAGTGTGTTTCCTTAACTTTTGCACACATTTTCTCGTGTACTTTTGTTAATCTGACAAAAAAAATATTTCCAACAAATGTTTATCGGTTCCCTGTTTGCTATATGACAAAATATTTAATTTTAAGGAATTGTTATTTTCTCAATAAAGGATCGGGGTCACCTTAATTTTTCTATGACATTGCATATTATTTACTTCACACTAATGTAGCTCGTGTCGAGACGAATTCTACGATCTGCTACAGTATGATCTTCGGGTGACCTTGAACCGAGAAATTTCAGTTCAATCAGAAAAACCGATTGAAGATGGAAATTTCTTTATTTTAAGATACATCAATCAGCAAATTGATAATTTTAATGCGAAATAGTATCATTACGTAAATTTAACGAAAACAAAGCTCATCATCAAAGGTCATCAGCAAAGATTTATCGAGCGAGAAATTTGAAATGAGCTCAGCATACGTTTTCAATTAACAGAATGTAATAAATAGAAAAACTGATCGTATAAGTAAAAAACACTTATAACTTAATATGTACTTTCGACGATACGATGCCATAAAACTCGCAGATATTACTTAAACTGAATGAAAAACTACAATTTGTATTATAATAATATTACATCATAAATAATGTAATAATATTACACTATAAATACTATAATAATACTAATACAATAGTATTATACTCTCTTTTGGAGTCTAACTAAGATTCGCAGTTAAAGAATTGCCTTACTAAAGTTAGTAACAATAGCACTTTCAATTGCCAATTGACGCTGTACCTACCCAATCGGTCAAAATGGCCAGTTTGACATTTTTTATTTCAAATTTGTTCATATTATAAAGACTCTTTCATTGGAAATGATTGAGTCAATATTTTAAATAAAGAATACGTTATGATAAAATTGATGAATAGCCTAAAGGCATTGAGTTTTGTCATTTTTATAATGCAACACACGTTAGCTAATTTTAGTGTTCGGTAGGTTTAGTGTCAACGAAGCAATCTGAGTCGAAACTTCTATTTAATGTGACACCGTTCTCTAGAAATTTATGAATTAATTTCCAAATAGCGCGTTACTGTGGTAGCCAATTTTGTGCACATTTGATTTAATGGAGTATCTTAAAAGCTTAACGTTCATTGAGTAACGCAATTACATCCTATATTCGCAATGATTTGCATAAAAGAACTACAACGTTTAATTTCGATGTCAAAGGTAAATGTTGCTGGATGTTATATAATGTTTTTTTGACACGTTTCATTCTTAAAATCACGTAGAACTGAGTTCTATAAATACACAGTTTGCATTTTGCTTTTCAATTATGAACAACTTGCTTTAATCAGTTTCATCGAAAATCAAAATTTATTAACGATATTAAAGTTATGCATTTTCATATATTAAAGTCACAATGGCGCTCTTGATGTTTACCATCTTAGATATTACATGGACGGTGATTATTAAATTGCTCGAAAAACTAACGAAATAATTTGCGAATATCTAGCAGAATTTATCGTATTAATTATTTCGCGTTATAATAGTTGCTGTCGGATGTGAAAATATTTTCAGCAGTTGTCAGAGAATTAATTAATACTGCAAACACTTTCCAGAATTTTGTTTGTCTCACTTTTCGTGTATTTTTTTTATAGAAACATTTAAATTCGATTTATTTAATCTCTAATGACCGAATTTCACTGATGATACAAATCTGAAAGATTTAATTTTTTTACAAGTTCAGGTAACATGGAATATTATTTCCAATGACATTTATCCATTTATTTGTTAAATAATGTCTTCCATCAATGTTTAAAAATATTTTTTCTCCAGTAGTAAGTTAATTTAAATTAACGGTAAATTACAAGATCGATGAGGAATGTTTAATACTTCACATCCCCTAATTACCAGTAGACGCAGCGAGTACTGCACAAACACGATGCATAGTTGAAAGCATGCAGGTCGCGCGAATATTGGAATTCGATATTTTCGAAACCGAGCGAAATAAAAAAAATATTATTTTGAAATTTTGATTTTATCGACTACAATATATCATACCGTCTCTGATCTATTACTAATTATTATATATTGACTGTCGTAAAAATACTTCACAGCTAATAATCCCTATGCTCGCAAAACCTGTAAATTTCTATAGAAACAAGAATAAATACCTGTCAAGAATAAATACCTAGAATCATTCTTATTTATATTGTCAATTATCCAGTATTATTTTCTGCAAACAGAATTTTAGGTTGTATTTTTTATTATTATAAAATGTTTGAAAAGATCTTAATGACAGAATATGTAGAATTATAGTATCGTTATCTTTTTATTGAAGTGATACACCGTGTAGCAATTTGCAATATTGAATCCACTTAAACGAAATAATTGATCAACTAGTTTTTGCAAACCGAACTGTAGGTTGTGTACATCTTATTATTGCAAAAGATTTGAAATGATTTCAATGATAGAACATGTAGAATTGTGGCACGGTTATCTTTTTAATGAAGTGTTACGACGAAAATTGTTTAGCCAGATTTAAAAATTCATTTTGTACTGATATACTGAGTTCGTTAAAATCGTTAAAAATTAACCGAGTTGAAGTAGCATCAATTAGAATTATGTTTGTCTTCTCGATTCTTGTCGTACTAAATAAATCACTTCGTACGATGTTCATAAGTACGACAACTTAATTAAATTGATAGAAATTTAATCTTAAAAACTCCTATCTCGAAGATGCGCTACTACCACTGTTCAAGACTTTCTCTTCCTCACGAGTCAGAAGAGACCCTGACGTTTCCAATCATCGAAAGAGAAGCAACAAAATCTCCTCCCATGCTTCGATATTTCTCGAAAATAAACCACTGCCAATGAACAGTAATACGATATTCCGTTGCGACAGCAAAATTCATTAAATAGAAACACTGTTACTTACGTCGAATCCAGAGAATTCGCTCTTTCCTGGTGGCCCAGGAGGTCCTTGCGCGCCTTTTTCGCCCGGTATTCCATCGAGACCCGGCTCTCCTTTTTGTCCTTGCGAACCTTCCGGCCCCTGTACCCCTGCGTCTCCTTTGTCTCCTTTAGCGCCGACTGGTCCTTCGATTCCTCTCTCTCCGGGTGGTCCTGCGGCTCCCTGTAGCAATTAGTGAATCCTTCAGTTTCCACAACGAGCGAGGACCGAATACAAATTTACACAACTCCATGCAAACTCTTATTTACCCCTGCATCATTATTCGATAACACTAGACAATAGCGGATAGAGCGAGGTCTATAAAGCTACATCAAAGTCCTTAATATCACTGTTGCAAATTTCTAGTTATAAAATTCCCATGTTCCGTAATCGCGGAGAATTTCAGTGAGCGTGAAACGCGCGCGTTAAACGTTGAAATTGTTTGAAGGTACAGAGAAATTGTTCGGTTCGTTTATGGAAGTCCTTTATTTTACAGTCATGGAATGATCTCCGTCACATTTTCTTGAGTCGTTACTGTGAAGCGGTTTTGCTTTTACAAAGAGCATCAATACCGTCAGCCCCATTTGCCCCTGCTTTCCTTCTTGTCCGGGCAGTCCTTGTTCGCCTTTGGGCCCCTGGATCATTTTCGGCATCGTGAAGGACGCCATTAGAGCCGTCGTGTTGCAGGTGCATGTGCCGGGATCGCCTTTCTTCCCTGGAGGACCCTGTAGCGTTTTCACAACATTAGTCAAATAATAATCATTCCATTTTAACGATAACTTCACAACTAACGCCGACTACGCTCCGATATTAAACGAAGTACCATCTCAAATTAACGAGTCTACTTATTAAGTAATTTTACTCGTTTCGATTTAAGTATCAATTTAGTCGTAATTTAAAATGCGATTTATTTTGTTGTGTAATTTAATGTCGACGGATTCAAAGACGGAAGATGTTTATCTGCATATAGATAGATCGAACGTTGAAGAATGAGACGACGGGAAAAAGAGGCGAAGTTGAAGAACTTTTTGAAGTCCGTCCTCGATATTTATTCGAGGAAAAATGTTCACTTTGAAAAGTAAGTAAATAGTTATCTTGGTGGAAAGTAGGTCGCGTCGGACAGAAATTTATGTGCATAAAGCTTTTTGCCAGTTACATCGTTTTGCCTGTGCAGGATGGGCGTGGCGAATGTTACATACGATAGGTCACAATTTTCCATGTTAAAAGGAATGTACAATGTGGGATAATTTGTCGATCATCTCACTAACTAATGTCTATGATAGGTTGTAACTTTTTTTGTTCACATTCTATTAAACAATTCATTCTTCTCCCGCGAAATGTTTTGCACTCAATGCTTTGTTCCTTGAAGCTTTTTCTTAAAATAACGTTGGGAGTTCTTCGTTATTCCAGTTCGATTCGATTGCAGTGAGACGTGCCTCTCAATGATCAATGCAATTTCCGTGGAGTGGACTGTGTAATTGGCAAGTGTAGAAAAAGACGAAGAATTTGAAAATTTCAATTCGAAAGGATTCGTATTCTATTGCATAAATCTCTACGAAATTTGACTATTGAATTGTCTAATAAAAAAAATCTGTTATTGTAAAGAGCAACACATGTCATTATGTTATTTCAAAATTTTCCATAGTTTTCTGATAGTTCTTTTAAAACCAAGGATCAGAATTTAAGAATTCCTTAAAAAATACTTCAAGAACAATAATAATCTCATCTATAAATCATCAAATTATTTAGATCGATACAATGTAATAAGTTCTTTTGAAATTATTATTCAAAAGAAAATAATCGAGCTATTAAACACATTACCTATTTTTAGACACAGTTCAGTCATTGAAAAGTTTATTAACACTTTACCGACCATTAGTACAATAGTTCTGCCATGGCACATTAACATTAACGGCTATTGAGTTAACATGTGTATCGTGCGCAATGTATTCAGGAAAAGTCGCTACGCAAGGAATGGGGTGGCGGCGCATGCGCGGGAGTCTCGAACAGCGGCGTTACGCGTTTACAGGGCGGCACCTACTATATTGTATTCTATTGTATTTGCAGCTCTGCGTCGCATAGCATCGCCATAGTAGTTCAGAATTATAATGTTCACCCGATAGACGCACCGCGCCGCTGTGCGGGACTCTCAGCGCATGCTTCGCCACCCCACTCCTTGCGTAGCGACTTTTCCTGAATACACTGATCATGCGCCTGTCTCTTATACACATCTAGATGTGTATAAGAGACAGACCCCACTCCTTGCGTAGCGACTTTTCCTGAATACACTGATCATGCGCCTGTCTCTTATACACATCTAGATGTGTATAAGAGACAGACCCCACTCCTTGCGTAGCGACTTTTCCTGAATACACTGATCATGCGCCTGTCTCTTATACACATCTAGATGTGTATAAGAGACAGACCCCACTCCTTGCGTAGCGACTTTTCCTGAATACACTGATCATGCGCCTGTCTCTTATACACATCTAGATGTGTATAAGAGACAGACCCCACTCCTTGCGTAGCGACTTTTCCTGAATACACTGATCATGCGCCTGTCTCTTATACACATCTAGATGTGTATAAGAGACAGACCCCACTCCTTGCGTAGCGACTTTTCCTGAATACACTGATCATGCGCCTGTCTCTTATACACATCTAGATGTGTATAAGAGACAGACCCCACTCCTTGCGTAGCGACTTTTCCTGAATACACTGATCATGCGCCTGTCTCTTATACACATCTAGATGTGTATAAGAGACAGACCCCACTCCTTGCGTAGCGACTTTTCCTGAATACACTGATCATGCGCCTGTCTCTTATACACATCTAGATGTGTATAAGAGACAGACCCCACTCCTTGCGTAGCGACTTTTCCTGAATACACTGATCATGCGCCTGTCTCTTATACACATCTAGATGTGTATAAGAGACAGACCCCACTCCTTGCGTAGCGACTTTTCCTGAATACACTGATCATGCGCCTGTCTCTTATACACATCTAGATGTGTATAAGAGACAGACCCCACTCCTTGCGTAGCGACTTTTCCTGAATACACTGATCATGCGCCTGTCTCTTATACACATCTAGATGTGTATAAGAGACAGACCCCACTCCTTGCGTAGCGACTTTTCCTGAATACACTGATCATGCGCCTGTCTCTTATACACATCTAGATGTGTATAAGAGACAGACCCCACTCCTTGCGTAGCGACTTTTCCTGAATACACTGATCATGCGCCTGTCTCTTATACACATCTAGATGTGTATAAGAGACAGACCCCACTCCTTGCGTAGCGACTTTTCCTGAATACACTGATCATGCGCCGTTCGGTGATAGTATCGGTGGTACAAACTACTAGTTATTTTCGATTCGACTGGGAACGAGTGCGAAATCGCAATTTACCTTGATTTCTTTAATCATCCGTCGGATACATGCATTTTTATTTAATGTAAAATAACACTTTCAGCATTTAAATTTAAATATTTTCTAAGTTTACCTGACAATATTAACTGCTGATTTACAAAGTATAATTTAATTGTAATTTGGTTTATTTGTAAAATAGAAGTTTAATCCAGGTAAAAACGCCGGCTTCCCACGAAGGTTTTTCATAAAACCGCGTGGTCTGTAAAGTGTCAATAGCCTTTTGATAAATGAAGTATTAATGTTTTAACTAATTCTATTGGCAATGATTCCTATAATGGCCGATTTTCAAAGGATTAGTACAATTGAACTTTGACTTCTGTGTCAGATTCGAATTAGCATTGATTTTGTGCGCTGTTTTTGACGTTGCCACGCGCATCCGGTCGTGAATAATTTTAGAAGATAGTGAATATCGAGAAAGCCTGTTTCTGTGTAATCAATGTTGCACGCATTAGCCACCTGCATTTCAGCATTCTGACTAAATTAGATCGCTCGTGTAACAAGATAAATGAGTGATTTTGGATTGGAATGTATTCAAGCTCGTTTAACATGCACAAACGCTACCGATGCGAGTTATTATTGCCGAAATATGCGCGCAATTGTATGCATCCGGTGTCACAGAGACAATCTTAGAACTAAATACTCCTACGTGATATACTATTGTATTGTGCGCAGCGTTTCATGCTAGTTGTTTGCTCACGTAGGTGCATTATAGTGTAACTACACGTGACACATTCAAATTCCGACGAATTTCTTCGTTCTCGTGGCAACAGCGTGTAACGAACACGAATTTTACACTTGATTAGGATGGTGGTGCCGGTTACTGTGCACTGACCAATTTGCTGTGCGTTTGGTTCTTTTCAAAATTTGTTTATTCGTTTCTTTTGTTCATTTCCGAATAAAAAAATTCATATGTCTCATTCGACAACAACAAATCGATGGCACAGTAACCGGCTCCACAACCCTGAGTGTAGTTGATCGATCGATTGACTGCACACTGGCACTGAAAGTAAAAGATTCGACGATTTTTTTCTGGTTTCTATTCTTTTGCAACTCGCGCATTTTGTTTCTACGTGAAAGACAGATTAGCGTCAACTATGAATGCGAAATTTCTATAAGTTTAATTAATTCTCGGTGCCATGTTGGTTGCAGCGCATTGCATCAACAGACACAAGGAAAATCGGTAATCTTTCGTTAACGACGCTTTGTCTCACGCAGTAATGAAACACTAATTTCCCTGCACATTTGCACACGCACATCCTGCCGGCGCTTTAATACTGTAAACACCGGTAGACTATCTAGTGTGGGACCGGTCCAAGATAGTGCTTTATTTCATTAGGGGAGATGAATGTTGGGTAGTTAAACCGATGGAATAACTCTAAGTAAACGTACATCGTATAAATACGGGACTACGGACGACGCTGAATTATTATTCATTTGTCGTAACAAAGGAGCCGGCAAGAACTAAGACAGTGAAATGCCGAATTACATTTGACCAATACGAGCCCGAGCTACGAGTAATTACAATTCAATCTAGCCTTTGTCTTCGGCGAATTCTGTGCGACGATCGTTCTGCAATTTGTTACGACAATTAACCGGCTCGTGTAAATACAACGGCCGCAGCCGTATTTGGGTTAACAGATATTTCTTTCCGGCCGGACAATGTAGTGTTGCATAATCATAAGCGAAACCTGATACGAACGTGTAGTCCTGCAATATTCACAATGCATTCAATCTGCCTTTCTACGTGTGCGGACTATTGAGCCAGTGGAACTGGAGTTTCTATGGTCCGTATTGGGACTGCTAATGGCAGAACATTTGGCCGGTTTGACGCATACATTCGATAAGTTAGATCCACCGATAAGAAGTTCCGCAGTTCTTGTGTTATAATACAAACGAAGCAATCAGACATCTGTTCACGTTCTGTGCTTTTTGTTACCGAATGTTTTCCGCATTTTACCGCGACGAATATTAATTATTTTAAGCAACGTTCCTCAAGTTCCTTTCCGTGAAATCGTATTAAAATTCGAATCAGCGCAATGAAACAATTAAATCCGTATTCAAATTAAAATTGAACGAACGAACTGTAATAAATTGTAATTGTATTAAGAGATGGGAAAAGTCACCGCATAAAAATGTCTGCGAGCAGACTGGGGATTTTATGTATTTATGGAAAAATTCAGAAGGCGCAATTTGAAATAGTAAAAGGGTTGCAAGAATTTTAAAACGTCAATGTATTATTTTCAATCTATTAGAAGGATTAAACAATGAACGAATTTGCTGTTCGGTTTGTATTCTTTGCATCGATACGGAAAATTTGTATTTTGTGAGAAAATTTGTCTATTTGTGAGAAAAAGAGACACCGTTTTTCGAACTAGAATGAAACACGTAGGTTAAAATTAGCAAACGAGTTTAAATATATAGTTATGTTCGTAGGATTGCAATAATGATACAAAATAAATGCAAAGTACTTACCTCATCTTGACCTGGTGGTCCGGGTGGTCCTGGAGGACCTCTAACGCTATCACCCTTGTCTCCTTTATCGCCTTTATCACCTTTCGGCCCTTTGTCTGAGACGTGCAAAATAATGCTCGATTAAATTCAGAAATAAGCAGGCCACATTAATTGTTAAAAATATTCCAACCGCTGGGAAAATTGTCAACACTTCTTCCGATACAATATGTTTCGACATTACAAAAATTACTTTTTGACAAACAAACTATAAATATATACCCTAACAAATACATTATTGTTAGATTGTAGAGTTGAAATCCCTTGCACTACGATTTCTTTCGCAGCTACGTAAAATAATCTTGTCGCTAATAAATTCATAAGCGAGGACAACAATTTATATTTATCGTATGTACTCTAATGTTTAAATATTGATAATTGAACCGTAGAATTTGATTTCGGTTTAAAAGAAGTAGACATCATAGCACAAGGGGTTAAACACATATGACAGAAGTTGATAAGTAAAACTCAAAACAGTAAACTTTGAAAAAGAATGAAGAGAATCTTATATTCTTATATTTTCCTACGTCTTGGAAATTATTGTTTTGGTATAACCATTACGTGGTGTCTATTTTCTTGTTTTGTCGGTTAAAACTCATTGACTTTTTCTGTTTCAGTGAGGGATCAGTTACTAAACCCCTAAAATTACTAACACCTTGCGTAAGGTCATAGAAAATGCTGTGGAAAAAGCCCGTATGAGCAGGAAAATGCTGGCGATTTTTCACACGTAATACTGCAAAATATCCATTAATTATATTTCCAAATAAAATTAAAAAACAAAATGTGTTCGTGAAAGTTATCTTTGTTTTATATCATTCAGTCGTTCAGTGGTCAGTCTGTATTTACGCGGTCAAGGTTTCATATGATCCATAAGTGTTTAAAAATTTAATATTATTGATTTTGCTATGAAAGTTGGTTTGTACGATCGGAGTTTTCTTATATTCAATTTTGTACTGTAGAAACTGTTGTAACGCTGTAATTTCATCGAGGAGGAAAGAACTGGGTCCACTGGAAATTCCCCGGGAGCCCTGTCGAATACGTTCCTGACAGAAGATGGCTCTAACGGCGTTTGAAATATTGAGGAAACAATTTTCGCTGTAATTTCGGTGGCCGCCGTCGGGGATTCGTGTATGTCTTACCGGCGCGGCGGGGCGATGATTAAATAAACTCACGAATTCTTTGCGATTACTCACAGTCCGGATTTGGGGGAGGAGGCGTGATGAATGGCGGCGGATTGCTTTTCTCGCTTCTGTCTTCGTCATCGTCTCGTCCGATCTGAAAACGGACGGTAAAAAGGAACGGTGAATAAGAACACCAAACGTGATTTATATGTCGTTATATCGTTCGAAAAAGGATGGGTAAAAGAAAAACGAACGGCATAGAAGTTTCATCGCTTATGGTTGTGATTGATTGCACGCCGCGCCGCGCCGCGCCATGCCGCGCGGAGCCGGTGCAATTTATTTATCTTCGAAGAGCAGCGAAATCGTTCCATTTTCACGGATCCACCATCGCATTCACGGTTAATATGGCGTATCATTGGAAAAACGTTTGATGCCGTAGATTCACGGCACAAACGAGCTTCTCGAACGTCATTCAAACTTAGCAGAAACGGCGTTAACGAGTCGATGAACGTTGACACTGAAAATATTCATCTCGCAATGTTTATTAATCGTGGGATTGATCTCGGTGGAAATGTTGAAGCGTCAACCGTTTGCACTCGAAGCTATTTTCGCTTCGATACATTTTATAAACACAGAGCAGACCTACTTGAATTCTTCGTAATTTATCGACAAATGGGAAAGTTAACACTAAATCTACCATGCCGATCGAGAGAAATGATTGATTTCACATCTTTCATTTAAAAATTGTTGAAATTGTATTGATTCTTTCATTAGAGATGATTGAATAAATTTTTTGATCAAAGTGTACGTTATAATAAAGGTAAGGAGAGCTTTGTATAACTTCGGTTTAGTTATTATCTTAAAGCGATTCAAGTTTTTCAGTTTCAGTGCTGGGTGGTTTAGTGTTAATTTTAATTATGATATGTCAAATCTATAATACTCGAACGGCAGACTTTTGTTTGGCAAAAATATAACTGAGTATACTCAAAATCATTTACAATGATATTTATCAATTTCTTTCTTTATATTTCTTAAGGTACTCCTTCTAGATATGTTAATTTCTTTGTAGACCTTAATGAAACATGTGAACATTTAAAGTAATCGTCACAGATGCAAATGGACTCGAGCCTCGCCGTCCGAGGGTTGATAAGGCAATTCGAGTGCACAGGGTTTGTATTTAAATCGTCGTTACCTAGAACAATAGAAGACAGTAATAAACAGAGCTGGGCAAAACGTAATCTAATTAATGATGGAAGATTGTGATTAATGTGAAATCATGTTAATAATCATGATTATTGATTATTAAATAATCAGTGATTATTGATTAATGGTTAATAGGAGTAGTAAAAATCATTGTCATCAAGGGCTATGATTAATTCAATCATCATTAATCACAACATGATTATACTTTTGATTAGGATTGAATCGGTAATTTATTTAAAATAACAATAAATAATACCGCGAACATCTTTTGGGAGATAAATATTCATTATATAGGGCGAGTTACAAATTACCCTTCACGATTTTTCAGCCCATTCCGATAGTCTGACAAAAAAATATTTCCTATCAAAATTAATTACTATTTAAACGAGGCCTTAGTGTTATGTGTCGCCAAATTATTTCAAATATTGTGGCAATCGATTCATGACAATTTTTCTTTCAATATCATCAGAAGGTCATCATGTTGCAGGTCGTTAAATTCATCCCGACGTCGCCTACAATACTATGAAGTTAAAATTACCTAGTTTCATTAAAAAATATAACGGCAACCTTGCTTTTTTATCGAAAATCAATTTGTTTTTAAATTTAAACAATTGAAATTTCTTGTCGGTTAAATACTGATCAACTTTAATAGGAAACATTTTCTTGTCAGGCCATTGGAAGGGACAGAAAAATTGTGGGGATTAATTTGTGACTCACTCTGTATTTGTAATATATGCATAACACATTCACCTTATATACCTTATATTATGCGGATAAGGTGAATACGGTAATCATTCAAATGATTACAGATTTCTGACTAATGATTGAAAATTACAAACGTTGTGCAAGATTACTAAATTACTGTCTGTGATGATTACATGATTAATGATTACGATTACTATGATTACTCTTAGTAATTAATTACAGCAATCATCAAAATGTAGTTGATTAATACCAAATTCTGTTAAGAAGCATGAGAAATATCTTAATTAGTACGCAATAGCACGATGGTTATTTCTACATGAACATTTGATTGGAATAAATAACGATTATGCAACAAATTATGTGGTTATAGCTGAGGAGATTATGCGAATACATGTGTGGCAGGCACTGCAAGCACAAGACATAATGAAAATAGTGTTACAATAAGTTGCGGATTAGATCTTCTTTGTTGGTAACTTAATGAGATGTCCACGAAATTGATGATGTCGTCAGAGTAATTATAAAGTAAGTTCTGCCTTCGTTATCTGCTGCCCAAATATGCTGTTACATATTGATGTTACATATTGCTGTTACACATTGCTGTTACACATTGCTGTTACACATTGCTGTTACACACTGCTGTTACACACTGCCGTTATACATTGCTGTTACACATTGCTGTTAATTAATGCCGTCGCGATATTCCTCGATTTATTCAGATTGGCAATTATAGTAATATGAATATTGAACAATTCAAGTTAAACTTTCCACGTTTGAAAGAGTGATTTAATTATCTCATTATAAAAGAATATTAATGCGCGTTAATTTTTTTACCACGAACGATAGACCATTAAATTCTATTTAACCGCATACGTATATTCGAGTTCACGGGTTATTAAAGATTCGAACAATGAACGATCGATTTTTAGGGTCTTAGCTTTTTGTTCCGGAAAAATGAATGATATGCAGATTGACGATGATTAATGAAGTTTCGGGTAAATCAAGCGGAGCGTTTAGCACACATTCGCCCTAAGTACTTTCCAATAATAATTAGCAGCCACACGGACTTAACGGGTTAAAATAATCTTTGACAGTTATTTATTGTTCGCTTTCCGATTAATACGTTTTCGAAAAAAAGTCCTCTTACGTGTTAGTTGCACCGAAATGTTTCGAGCGCATGTTAGAAGTGTGTTACCGGATACATGCAAGGCTTGTTAAGCTATAAAGATTATTTAAAACTCGATGCTCGACAGGAATCCGCGTTTTCTTTTTTCGAACATCGAGAGTATGATTTTTTCTGCAGTTTCAGCTCAAATAGTTTCTCGCTGCAAAATATTTAATTGTTCCGTACTTTATGAAAAACGCAAGCGGAACAATAAATATATCTCAACGAGTGAATGATAGATGTAACCAGGAATAATAAAGGGGAACTGCTTACAACACGATGGAACAATGCTTCAGATATTGCACCGTTCTTTTAAGTAAGCAAGAGAATTCAATTTAATCTTCCTTTCTCTCGCATCATTTCCACTGTTTTGTTTCTTACATTTTCCGGCCTTTCTCTTTAATTCATGGCGCGCAAAATGTCGGAACAATTTTTTGCGCTCGTTTCTCTCGGATCTTCTCACCGTGAATACGAAGCTGCGCGAAACTGGAAAATAGTGTATACAAGTAACAGACTATAGTTCCACCGGCACGCACACGTACAATCCGAAAACTCTAAATACTTTTCAGAAATATGACACCACGACCTGCCGGTGCATTCTATGACATACTTCCTTAAACTACGCAATTGTTAAACATCTACGGGTGATTCGACATTTTCGATAATAATTGGCAACTTTGAAATTAACGGAGCTTCTAAATCATCCGAATTTTCTAGTTCAAATGAAATGAAAAGGTACAGAGATATTGTCCGTAAAAGAAAGAAGATTTAAGCAGCGATTTGTGATACCCAAGTTTCTGATTTTCGCGCGTATCGTCATCTCCGATCACGTCTCTCTATTCACGGCTCTTATTTTCTATATTTATTATTATCGTTATTGCCATTATTACTGTTATTATCATTATTCTTATTCTTATTGTGGGAAGTTTGATTCCGTTATGGCGAAGTTTGGTCACTGAAACAGGAGCTAGTAAGCGTCCATAGAATACGTTTAATCGATTCGGGGCATACTGACATTTATACACATATGCCTGCTAAACATTCCAAGTACAATGGTTAATCGAAACCCGCGATGCAAGTATGGAACGGATAGGGTACAGAATAGAGGCTAGAGTTTGAATGCACGTAGACACGCGCGTCTCCGCGGCTGCATTGACATTGCCACACACATGAAACCAATGGACGATCGTAATAACACGAGCATTCGAGCGACGAGTACGACCGGCGACTGTTCCATTGAGTTCGTTCACTTGATACCATTCGTTGCTGCACCTTTGCATCCCGCTGTACATCTTGCAAGCTTTTCTCCGGGACTGGATTCCGCAGATGGAATAAATTGCTCGGCCCTCCCTGTCCCTCACCCTTCTTTTGGCCGAGTTAAAAAGGAGGATGCAAACTAGTTCCACGGACGATGCGATTAGGCCTAGTACTGCCGAACAATCAGTCCCAGAAACTCGAGGAAGACCACCGTAGAAATCTCTATTCGTATTTGCAGCTATCTGAATTTTATTATTTACTTTCGATAGAGATAATCACAGCATCTTAGATTTACTTTATGTGCACAATTTTCATGATAAAACAATTGACAATATAATAATATTCGATTGTATGTGCACAAGATAATGAACTCTATTTTAATAGTGGTTTATGGAGAAATTGAATTAAAACTATAACACGGAGTTTTAAAGTGTACCACTTTTAATTTATTAGAATTGTTGCTGATAGAAAGAACTGGCCATTCAGTTTCTTTTTCTTGAAATTGAATCCGGAAATTTTTATTTCGTGCAACAATGCGTGGTCCATTAATTAGCATTTATTTTAATTCATGATACAGACGTGCTTCTCAGTTTGTCGGAGAGGTCTATCTGTTTACAAGATGCATTTATTGCGCTATTACTGCACGAATCGTAACAAGACTTCTCGACTAATAAATATTCTCTTGGCGTTATTACCATATTCTGTGCCAGCACAGGTGTACAAATTCTGGTGCAACCTGTATAACGAAGTTCTCTGATCGATAGCGACAGCGAACAGGAGTCCTTTAAGATTTCCACGCTAACTACGTCCAGTAGGGCAAATCAAAG